TAGATAGGTAGCATGTTATCAAACTAGAATTAAGGTGGAAAAAAAAAATCTCCCCTGTCCCATGGTGATAGCATATAAATTTAAGTTTATAGAAGAATGTATTTGGCTATTAAGAAAATGGTTTTACTCTTTAAACGCAAGTAATATCCCAGATCTGACCAAGTATTTACTTAAATAAAACTCAATCCAGGTAATACTATTTTTAAGAATTCAGGAAAATGCTTCCCAAGGTTCGTTTATCCTTTGTGCTTGCTATTGATTTTTTCCTTGTTTATGGAATCAGGGATTGAAGGGGCCTTGGGAAATAAATATTATATACCTGCCTCAGGCAAGACTATATTCAATTCAACCTCAAATGATAGCTTACTCCCTTCTAGAATGTTTTAGGAGATGAAAGCCTCCTCAGTGCACTGTTCCAATGGTGTTTACTTGGGAATTTTCCCTAATATCAAACCTAACATCTTTCTCTTCTGATCTTGTTCAGAAAACTAACAGGAGCTAAGAGTTCAAAACATAATATTGTTCTGAGTTTATAAAGAGGGCTTTGCTATGTAACTTCTCCCTTTAGGGGTTGAATAAATATTTATATTAGTGTTTATAACATCAATGTGTCAAAAAAAATTATCTACCCATTTTTCCCTTCTGTGCTATTCATTCATTTCTAGGATGTCAGGATGTGAACAAATGGTTCTGGCACCTTGTAGATGGATTTGCACTCTTGAGGCTGTGGAAACTATTTTAAATTTATTTTTATTTATTTATTTTTAGGTGCATTTTGACCAATTTAAAGAAGCATTAATACTTATCTTGTCGAGAACGCTATCAAATGAAGAACACTTTGAAGAACCAGGTAAGGGCATTCACTTTTCTTCTCTACATTCCCCTTTAAAAGTTTTATAGGGGAGAATTTGGCAGCCTTGAAGCATGTCTATGAAAGATGTGGAGCATCTCTCTTTCATAGATTGAATAGCTTTTTCAGTGACTCTTCTTTTCATATTATCATAAAAGCCTTGCAGCTGTTGAACACTAAAATGAGACTTCCCTGCTACAGCAGTTTATTATGAAATAAATAATTGGATTGTTCCTAGGCAGTATGTCAGATGAGGCAGTAACTCATTCTTACAACAAGTAGAGTGAAACTGAATGGTACTACCTTCATCCTTATTTCCTTTGTAAACTAGATTCGATTCTGGGACATCATGGAAAGATGCACATTTTGGGGAAGTGCCTGGAAGAAGACTCTAGAGATAATTTTACTTAGTTCTAATGAGTGGGTAACCCTCTGTTACAGAGACTATCACCTTACACTTGCTTATCTGTCTGACCTTCTCAAGTGTTGTTCCTTGAGGGCCGTATTTTTTATTTTTGTATTCCCAAGGCCTATCAGAATGCTTAATACATAGTAAGTATTCAACGAGTGTTATGAAATACAGGACTTAATGTTGTACTTCATTGATTTTTAAGGCACCATTGATTATCAGACATGGGACATTTTTATTTTATAGACTTCAGTTTTAAAATATATAAATTACTAATTATAATGGTGAAATGCCATTGATTGTAAGATAGTCTAATTTCAAAGTGTTCAAACCTGACAGAGGAAGAGTATTTTAGAATCATTGAAATATAGTAAATATATTTTTTGTTGTTGTTGTTGTTGTTATGTGCTGTCGAGTCAGACCCAACTCATAGCGACCCCTCTTTTGGAGGGTAAAAGTTTTCAGAGTAAATTGGTTTTCCATTCAACAGTTCATACCCATTTTGTTTCTGAAATATGGTAAATACTTAAGGGGAAGCCTGAACAGTGTGGAAATTTTTATTACAGTATAGTCCAGTTCTATCAGATGAGTGGCTGTTAGGGGCTAGTAATATAAAGTGGCACAAGGGAATTTAGGGAGTGTGAAATTGTTTTATAACTTGTTTGTGGTGGTGATTATATGATTGTATGAGTTTTTCCCACTCATAGAATTGTGAACTAAAAGAGTGAAATTCACTGTGTATAAATGATACCTCAATCAACTAGACTTTAAAAATGAGAACATCAAAAAATACAGTTCAGTTTTGAAACTGAGGAGAAATCATTAACATTTTGTCACTACAAAGAGTCATTCAATGTGACCTATTTAAATGAGACACAGATGGGAACTCACTTCTGATCCTTACTGGTGATCTAGTTCTTCATAAAACAAAAACAAACAAAAAAAAAACCTCAATGCCATTGAGTCGGTTCTGACTCATAGTGGCCCCTTTTGGGTTTCCAAGGCATTAAATCTTTACGGAAGTAGATTGCCCAGTCTTCCTTCCATGAATACTAGCTTATAAAATGTTCCCAATTTGTATCTGATGTATGAACAGTGCATCTGGTATTGTTTTGGATTCTAGATTGAGTCTCCCTCTTTTTAATAATGGCAGCCACTCCTAGGATGGGAATTCTCCACTCTGAGGCTGGAGGGGGAAGTTATTGCATTTTCAATGTTTTTTAGACAAACAGTACAATTTCTGTAGGTGCTCACTATTGGACATGGATTTTTGTTCTCATGGGTTCTCACTTTTTATTGGTATTTTCACTTTTTTTAAGGTTGTTTTTCATCTGGATAATAATAATACAAGATCTGGGGATCCTGAATGGAGCTCTGGTGACATTAACACCAACAGACATTTTACTTAATATGAGCATAGGTAACAGAAGCATAAATTCAGCATTCTCCTTCTGTGTGCTGATAATGTGTTTTCATGTGTGTTTGAAAATGGGCAACGCCTGCCATTAGTCCTCATGATTCCTCAGCACCTTTATTGTCACTTGCCAGAAAAAAATTGTCATCTTACATATACACATTTATAATGACTACAGATGTGAACGATGCCCCCTAGAGTTGTGCAGTGTTGGGAGCTGAACAACAGGATGTGGTGGACAGTGGCTGACTAAGCTTGGTAACAGCCAGAAAGTAAAAGTTTATAACTCTAGCTCCAGATGGTGGTTTCATAGTTATGTGTGTGCCTCACTGCTGTGCAGCAGAGACCACCATTTGGACAAGTCTTCCAGGATAACACACAGAAGGGATTTTTATAGCTTTGCTTGTGCTCCCTCCTTTGGGCATTCTGCAACAAATCTTTGTTCCCATACTGCTCAGATCAGTGTGATCAAGCAGCAAAGGACTTATTGATAGCCTTTCACCCAGCATTTATGTGACTTCTCTAAGGTTTGTCCTGGCAGGATAAAATCTAGGACTGGGTGGAGCCTGTGCCTGAAGAGAGCCTTATCTAATGTACAGCAGTGAGTCATCCTTCCTCCCACATTCCCTGCTTTTTCTGTCTTTCTCGCCCATCTCTCCCTCGCCCCTGCAGTTGTTCTTAGGATCATGCAATTCTTTCCACTCAAGCATTCCCCCACCCACTCTAAAATGTGACCCTGCCCCCAGAGGCTGTCTGGTGTGGCTGTTCAGAGACAAAAGGAGCAGGACTCAAATACAGTCTATCAAGAGGCCACCAGAGTTCATTCCTCTCTTTCTCTTTTTGAAAACAATTATTCCTTAAACCAGGAGCTCTGGTAGCATAGTGCAGTGCCTAAGGCGCTTGACTGCTAACCACAAGGCTGGCAGTTCAAACCCACTACCCACTCCTCAGAAGGAAGGGTGGGCAATCTACTTCCATAGTGATACCGCCTTGGAAACCCAAGGAGGGATCGCTATGAGTTGGATCCAACTCAACGGCACATAACAACAACAACAGCATTCCTTAAACCACAGACCATAGCATTTCTAAAATTTTTATTGTGGTAAAATGTATGTAACAAAAACATTTGATAGTTTTTAAATGTACAATTCAGTACCTTAATTACATTTACCATGTTGAGTAACTGAGATCATAAGGCTGGAAAGGACTGTTGTCATTTTATGGATGAGCAAATTGAGGACTGAAGAGGGAAGTAGTAGCTTAATTGAAGTCTCATGGATCGTGGCAGGAGAGGATGCTAGCACTCTCACCAAGGAAAGTGATTCAGAGAAGCTTTAGTTTAAGGCTGTGAGCCCTGAAATGGATGATTTGGTGGTGAGCCCTATCCTCAGTCAGCACAGCCTGGACAGAGGCAGCAAGAAGGAGAAAGAGTGGGTTTTACCAAGTCATTAGGACAGGGATGCCTGTGTCTTCATCTTCAGCACTGTTTGGCTGCTTAGTATTTAATTCATCTTTTACCATAGCAGACAGGACTGTGATATTTCTGTCTTACTTTTCGAAGTAAATGGACCTGGTAGACTTTGAGAAAGACTCCATTAACCCATTGCCATCAAGTTAATTCCAGCTTATTGCCACCTTATAGGACAGAGTAGACTGTCCCATAGGGTTTCTAAGGCTGTAATCTTCACAGAAGCAGACTGCCACAGCTTTTTCCCATAGAGTGACTGGTGGGTTCAAACCACCAACCTTTTGGTTAGCAGCCAAGGGCTTAACTACTGCACCACCAGGGCTCCTTTTTGAAAGAAAAACTTACCCTTAAACTATGGAGGGAGACTGAAAAAGCAGGAGAGCAGCAGTGCACGGCTTTAGAAATGGACTGGGTCATGCATTGATATTTTATAACACTCAAGATTTTTTTTTTTTCCTACTTTAATTGTGGTGAAAACATACACAACAAGACATTCATCAGCATAATAACTTCCACATTTACAGCTCCGGTACATTGATGTCATTTTTCATGTTGTGCCACCATTATTGCTATTTTTTTCCAAAATATTCTATCTTAACACTGAAGATTTTTATAAGTTAAATAGAACAAATGCTGTAATATATAAAAGCCAGCTCAATATGTGCAAAGACCCTAGAGCCAGGAGTCAGGAAATCTCAGTTCTAATCCTGGCTCTGCCCCTCTAATTGAGTGACCTTGAAGTCACAGCCACTGTGGTTGTCACCTCATATATAAAAGTAGTTGTGCTGGAAGATACTTAAAACCTCAGCTCCAATATATGATTGTATTATTTCTTAATATCTGAATGACAGGTAGCCAGAGGAACTGTCATTATCCAATGACAGTTAATATCCAATGACATTATCCAAATCTGTCAAAAAAAAAAGCTAGCTTTGTGTTACTGTAAGATTTTATTTCCATAACTTAACACTACAAAATTTTGCTTCCTAAGGACAAATGCTCAGTATATTTTATATTTTCATATCTCTCTAATGAAGTAGTATATAAAAGAATACAGAAACACAGCTCTAATAGAATCTGAGAAGAGATGGAATTAAATGAATTATTTCCATAGTCTTGGGCTCTGCCTTTCATAACTTCTCTAGGGTACAGTTCAGCATCTTTTTTAACTCTGATATTTATGATTCTCAGACTGTTAGGAAAGTTTTCCCCTAAAAAGCAAATAATAATACAAAAAATGCTGAAATTTAGAAAAGGGCAGAGAAATGGATTGGGGGGTGGAAGGAGTCCTTGTAAATTCCAAACTGACTACCATTGTCAGTGGCATCCCTCCCATATATCTGCATGTACAATTAAATTTTTAAATGGTTTCCTAGAATAAGAGAAAAACAACAGTTTAGTTATTAGTTATTTATTCAGTTTGCTGTGGTTTTGGATGATAGGATTTTTGTAGTGGAAATGCTGGCACAGGCTCTAAGCTGCATGGCATTGACATACCGTCTGGATCTGCTCTCCAGGGATTTTGTCCTCGTTTGATGCGTCTTGCATTAGATTTCTGTTCTGCAGATGTTAGCATAAAGTAGGAGGCCCTTTCGTCCTGGTGTGATTCACATGAAATGTCTTTCCTTTGTTTATCAGTGAGAAAAGCACAGGAGTAGGCATTGTTTCAGTGCAGATGCTAGTTTTTTGGTAATTTTTGGGAACAGATC